TAACACCAAGATTTTTAACATTAGAGCTGGAGGACAGATTAATGCATCTAAGGAGGGAGAAAGACTGAAACATTCATTCCTAAGGTGCTCAGGTCCAAAAATCAAAACCTCAGTCTTGTCTGTTCAACAGGAGAAAATTAAGGGTCATCCAGGTTTTTATGTCTTTAAGACATGCTTGTAGTCTAAGTAGCTGATTGGATTCATTGGGTTTAATGGACAAATATAATTGTGTATCATCAGCATAACAATGGAAATTTATCCCATGTTGTTTAATAACTTTACCTAATGGAAGCATATATAAGGTAATGAGTACTGGTCCAAGCACTGAACCTTGAGGAACTCCATGACTAACTTTGGTGTATAATGAAGATTCTTTACATTTATCAGGTAAATATGATTTAAATCAATTTAGAGCTGTTCCTGTAATCCCAATATCATATTCAAGCCTCTGTAGTAAAATATTGTGATCAACAGTATCAAATGCAGCACTGAGGTCCAACAGGACCAGTAGAGACACCAGTCCATTGTCTGAGGCCATGAGAATATCATTAGTGACTTTTACTAGTGCTGTTTCTGTGCTATGATGAGCTCTAAACCCTGACTGAAACTCTTCAAACAGATTATTTCTTTGTAGATGATCACGCAACTGACCTGCAACTATTTTCTCTAGAATATTTTAGATGAAAGTTAGATTAGATATAGGTCTATAGTTGGCTATAATTCCTGAGTCAAGGTTGTTTCTTAAGTAAAGGTTTAATTAAAAAAAATCTTAAAGCTCTGTGGTGCGTAACCATTTATTAGAGACAAATTAAGCAGATACAAGATTTGGTTATTAATTAAGGGAACTTGGGAACAGTAGGAACTTTAAACACTGAGGCTGTTAGATTCACTGACCGTTGGAACTTTAACGACTGAAGCTGTTACGTTCACTGACTATAGGAAATGTAAACACTGAGGTGACTCTTTACCTTGTATATGCTTCCATTAGGAAATGTTATTAAACAGCATGGGATATTTTTTCTCTGTTATGCTGATGATACACAGTTATATTTGTTCATTAAACCAGGGGTTAATTTGAGCCGGATCCTGACGGAACAAGATCCGGGAACGCTCTAATTTTGACTGTGTGTGTTGCAACAACTGTTTGCTCAGATCCGGCAACTCAAATCTTCTGGATCAATTTTGCCCCCCACCGTTGTACTCCCCTCTGGTGGTGGGCCCCCCTGCCGCCGGTGCATTGGCGGCTCTCAGCAGCTGGGGCTGGGTGGTGGGGTGTGTGCGGGCACGCCCTGGTGGCTTCCTGCAGGGGCCTGGGTGCCCTGGCTCTGTCGGTCCTCTGTTGGGGGGTGGTATGACCTCGGGACTCGGGGCTTGGTGTCCATGGCCGGATCTACTCTGGAGGGGCGGGTTGCCGGCGGGGCCTGTGGACTCGTTGCTGCAGCCTCCTGGGGTTTCTGCATTGTGATGGCTGGGGATCGCCGGGGCTTCCCTTTGCTTCTCTCTCTGGGGTGTGCGGGTGTCCCTGTTGGGGGACTCCCGGAGTTCCGGGCTTGGGGGCCTCTGTGTGTCTGAGGTTCCGGTCTTCCCTGTGTTACCATCATGTCCTGTGGGGATGGGTCTGTGGGTCCCCTCATCCACTATTGAACATTTTTATGGAGAAACCTTAAAGTGACATCATGCTCACACAGGTGTTTAGATCCAGGTGTTTATCAGATACACACTCAGTTGGGTTGTGGTGGCCATCAAATATATCTTGTATTACCATGTACTGTATAAAATACTTTCTAATGATGTTATAAGTTTCATTACATAAGTTGTTTGTTGTTATGGTTTCTTGGTTTTGTCTTTTCTTTCCGCAGGTCTAGAGTCAGACTTCAGTGATGTTGATTTGTGTTCTCTTTATCCCTCTCTCTCCTCTATTCCTATCTCCTTCTTTACCTTTTAACTCTTCTCTCACTTTTCTGCTTAGTTTTCTTCTTTGTTTTTCATCCCCATGTCAATTACATCTGGAACATGCCCATAGCATATTCTAATAAAATTTAATTTATATATCAAGCAGAGCATTAAGGCCAGCCATAATGCTCTGCTTGTGAAAGTAAATCTGTTGGGCATCACTTTGACACTCAGACAATAATTCTAAGTGTCACAATGCCGGACAGGACAAGGGGAAAAAAAAAAGTAAAGGTTTAATTACAACAATTTTAAAGCGCTGTGGTATGTAACCATTTATTAGAGACAAATTAAGCAAATCCAAGATGTGGTCATTAATTAAGGGAACTCGGAAACAATAGGAACTTTAAACACTGAGGCTGTTAGGTTCACTGACTATAGGAAATGTAAACACTGAGGTGTTGGGTTCACTGACTGTGGGAACTCTTTACCTTTTATATGCGTCCATTAGGAAAGGTTATTAAACAGCATGGGATAATTTTTCTCTGCTATGCTGATGATGCAGTTATATTTGTCCATTAAAGCAGAGGTTAATTTGAGCCGGGTCCTGACGGAACAAGATCCGGGAATGCTTTAATTTTGACCGTGTGCGTTGCGGCAACTGTTTGCTCAGATCCGGCAACTCAAATCTCCGCCTCTAAAAGTCCAAAGTCATCGCACATTTTTATTTTGATTATTTATTGAAATTGCCATGAGAGGAGTCGTTGCCCAGTCTGTGGAGCGGATGTTCCAGCCGCAGCAGGCGCACCAGCTCGCACACACGCTCCTGCCCAGCAGAGACGCAGACCGCATGTCCCGCGAGGATGAGCGTCTTCATCCACCTTCAGCTGTGCGCCCTGAGACAGTGCACGTTTTACGCACAGGAGCGTCTCCAGACAGCTCTGCAGAGCGCGCACAACTGCTGATGTGTCATAACTCCTGCTATATTTCAGAGATAGTAAATAAAAGCTTTCAGTAAAAAAAGAAAAAGAAGTGAAATGTTTGATGTGTATTATTCACATTACATCACGTTTCAAATCAACGGCACTAATTGTCAAAATGACAGTTCAGTTTATTATCTGAAATAAATGGATGGGTGGAGTAAAGTGTGTGGGGGGGCTTGACAGAATCGGGGCTGCTATAATTCACTGCTCTCTAAAACAGTCATTTCAATTCAACCTTTATTTCTACAGGTTGTTAGTCTCATTGAGCCTCGTCATTTACAAGAGACCTGTTTGTAATCAGTCTAATCAAATGTTTACAGATGTTTAACATCCTGTTAAAATACAACGAAACGCAGGAACTGAACTCAATACTGGACCCAAGTTGGACCCAATAGTGACTCATAACTGGACCCAAAACTAAACTAAGATCAGAGCTAAAATGGACAAAAACTATTCTGATGCTTTTATCAATATTCACTTCAGTAATTATTTTTCCCAAAGATTTTCTATAATTTATTTTTAATTTTCCTGCTTTATAGGTATATTTGTATTTCTTTCATTTTCCATTTGAATAAATCTGAAAGACGAGTGATCTGTGTTCTTAATTTGACTTTTAATGTTATAGAGATTGATGCTGGTGGACCTTCAGGACTTGATGCTGGTGGACCTTCAGGATTTGATGCTGGTGGACCTTCAGTTGATGCTGGTGGACCTTCAGGACTTGATGCTGGTGGACCTTCAGGACTTGATGCTGGTGGACCTTCAGGACTTGATGCTGGTGGACCTTCAGGATTTGATGCTGGTGGACCTTCAGTTGATGCTGGTGGACCTTCAGGACTTGATGCTGGTGGACCTAAAGTCTACTTGCTGAAGAACGAGGTCAATCAGAGTTGCAGCATGGCCACCTTCAGACTGTCACTCATTCTCCTTCTAGAAACAGCTGTCTGCAGCTGGTGTCTGGTTCTGGTGAACCCAGGTGTGCAGGTCCTTAGAGGTGGCTCAGTCTTCATCACAGAGTCGGACCTGAACATCAGCGCAGATCCAAACACTGACTGTAAAGTGGAGGTGGTGAAAAACGAGCCGATGACCCAGAGAGTCGGGAGGCTAACCCCACAGGTGAGAGGACCTGTGACAGGTGAGAGGCAGTGGCGTGGACTCGAGTCAGATTCGAGTCATTAATATTATGACTTTAAACTTGACTCAAAAAAAAGTCCAGACTTATGACTTGACTTGGACCTGTTTACTAGAAAAGACTTGATATTTTACCCATAATCTAAAGTTTAAAAACTGCGGTGAAGTTACTTCTAGGTTGGATATTTGATCTCCGCAGATTCAGCGGTGTCTTCCTCTCGTTCGATCCGATGCAGGTAGCCTGGTTTCGGTCAGCTGCGCTCGGTCTGCCCCCTCCTCCGAGGTGCAATGATTCGCTTAGGGACCATCAATCAATTACCGAACCAAATATTCTTGAGAAAAAAAAGCAGCTTTCATGTAACGTGACCCACTGACACAAAACAGTCCAGCACTACAGCTGATCCCTACCTGGACATTGCTGATGGACAGAACTTGTTCTGGACACTGACCGTGCAGACTCTTCCTTCAGGTTCATGAGGCCACCAGAGTTCCTGCATGTAGCGCTGCAGTGGAGCCAGTTTTCAGCTCATCCGGCCTCATCGTGCACAAATGACTGAGACTGTTGGCCAGTTTGGTCGTTTGCAGAACAAGTGAAATAATTTAAGGTGCACGTTCCTGTTCATTGTTCAGTTCATATATTTGTTTTGTTTCTCTGTCACGTGGACACAAACACACATCTGTGCACTAAGTGAGCAGATGAGGGAGGAAATCAATTTACTCTCATGGTTCTTTGTAACATACTGTGGACACGTCAGCAGCTTTGGTCTGAACATGGAGTTCTGCTTTTTCATTTTTCACTGAACGTTTATTCTGGAAAGTTCTAGTTTAAAGGAAGATTATTCTTGCAGCTAAGTTTAATTGAACTGTGCGATGCAAAGGTGCAATTTTAGAATGACGTTTTAAATACTTTGTAAGTTCAGTTGCACGTTTCATCACAATTTGAGATAAATACAGATTTAAAAAATAACACACGGTCTGTTATTTACATTTAACATATAATTGCAACATTGTTAAAAAAGACTTGAAAGGACTTGAAATTTCAAGTTTCAGACTTGGGACTTCACTTGACACTTGCCTGTCTTGACTTGAGACTTGACTCTGACTTGGGAATAAAGACGTGAGACTTACTTGAGACTTGCAAAACAATGACTTGGTCCCACCGCTGGTGAGAGGACCTGAGACAGGTTAGAACATATCATCTTCCACCAGGGACCACAAACCAGTGTATCTCTTGTGCCAGTCCCAATCCCGGGTAAATGGTGAGGGTTGTGTCAGGAAAGGTATCTGACGTAAAACACTTAAAACTATAATGCGAGTTCATCAAAGTGAAACCATACCGGATCAGTTGAGGACCGAGTTAATAACGACCACCGGTGCTGTTGACAAACAGGATGCTACTGTTAGTCCAAGACCACGAGGAGGGAAACATGTCAGAAGACAGAGAAGAAGAGAAAAGTAAAGAATGTAGGACTGAGGGTTGCAACTCTAAATGTGGGGACAATGACAGGCAAAGATAGAAAGCTGACTGACATGATGCTGAGAAGGAAGGTAGATGTTTTATGTGTCCAAGAGACCAAGTAGAAGGGCAGCAAGGCTCGCAACATTCGAGCAGGGTTCAAAATGTTTTACCATGGTGTGGATAGAAAGAGAAATGGAGCAAGTGTGGTCCTGAATGAGGAATTGCTAAAGAATGTAGTAGAGGTGAAAAGAGTGTCAGATAGGGTGATGTGTCTGAAGGTAGAAGTAGAAGTTCTGATGCTAAACATTGTCAGTGGTTATGCTCCACAGGTTGGATATGATGAGGAGGAGAAAGATACATTTTGTATTTTCTACATTCTGTGTAGAAGAGGAAACCTGAGGGAGATTGGAGACTGTAAGGTTGTGGCAGGGGAGAGCGTGGCCAGACAGCATCAGATGGTTGTGTGTAGATTGACTGTTGTTGTGAAGAACAGAAAAAGAGTAAAGAGAAGAAGACCAAATGGGCGTACGATGAGTTGTATGGGAGGCTGGACACTAAAGAGGGCGAGAAGGACTTGTACTGATTGGCAAGACATAGAGATCAGGCTGGAAAGGATGTGCAGCAGGTTAGGCTTGTTAAAGATAGGAATGGTAATGTTCTAACAAGTGAGGAGAGTGTGATGGGAAGATGGAAGGAGTACTTTGAGGAGCTAATGAATGAAGCGAATGAAAGAGAAAGAAGAGTAGAGGTCATAGAAACTGTGGACAAGGACGTGGGCAAGGTTAGTGAGGATGAAGTCCAGAAATCTCTGAAAAGAATGAAGAAGGTGAAGACAGTAGGACCTGATGACATACCAGTGGAGGTTTGGAAATGTCTTGGAGAGATGGCAGTGACGTTTTTGACTCAAATATTCAATGGCATATTTGAGGGTGAGACAATGCCTGAGGAATGGAGAAGAAGTGTGCTGGTGGCCATTTTTAAGAACCAGGGTGATGTACAGATTTGTAGCAACTACAGAGGAATTAAGTTGATAAGCCACACAATGAAGATCTGGGAGAGAGTTGTGGAAGCAAGACTTAGACGATAGGTGACTATCTGTGAGCAGCAGTATGGTATCATGCTGAGAAAGAGCACCTCAGATCCATCTTTGCTTTGAGGATGTTGATGGAGAAGAACAGAGAGGGTCAGAAAGAACTCCATTGTGTCCGTTTTAGAAAAAGCATAATGCCAAGGGAGGAGGTGTGATGTTGCGTGAGGAAATCTGGAGTGGCAGAGAAGTATGTTAGACTGGTACAAGACATGTCTGAGGACAGCAGGACAAGTGAAAACAGCAGGACATGTATGAGGACAGCAGGACAGTGGTGAGATGTGCTGTAGGAGTGACAGATAGCTTCAAGGTGGAGGTGGGAGTTCATCATGGATCAGCTCTGAGCCCCTTCTTGTTTGCTCTGGTGATGGACCGACTAACAGATGAGGTCAGGCAGGAATCTCGGTGGACTATGTTTGCAGATGACATTGTGATCTGTGATGAGAACAGGGAACAGGTGGAAGAGAACTTGGAGAGGTGGAGGTATGCACTTGAAAGAAGAGGAATGAAAGTCAGCCGTAGTAAGACAGAGTCCATGTGTGTGAATGAGAGGGAGGAGGTGAAACACTGAGGCTACAAGGAGCAGAGGTCACAAAGGTGCAGGACGTCAAGGACCTGGGGTCCACTGTCCAGGAACATGGGGAGTGTGGTAAAGAAGAGAGTCCAGACAGGATGGAGTGGATGGAGAAAAGTTTCAAGAGTGATTTGCGACTAAAGAGTGTCAGCAAAGGTCAAAGGAAAAGTTTACAAGACAGCGGTGAGACCAGCTATGTTGTATGGTCTGGAGACAGAGACATGAACAAAAAGACAGGAGACAGAACTGGAAGTGGTAGAAATGAAGATGTTGAGGTTCTCCTTAGGAGAGACAAGAATGGAGAAAATTTGGAATGAGATTATCAGGGGTACAGCAGATGTTGAACAATGGGGAGATAAAGTTAGAGAGGACACACTGAGATGGTTTGGACATGTCCAGAGGAGGGACAGTGGTTTGGACATGTGCAGAGGAGGGACAGTGTTTGGACATGTCCAGAAGAGGGACAGTGGGTATATTGGTAGAAGGATGTTAGAAATGCAGCTGCCAGGAAAAAGACAAAGAAGAGATACATGGATGCAATTAGAGAGGACATGGAGGTAGTTGGAGTGAGGACAGAGGACACAGAGGACGGAGGAGGAGGACTCACTGTGGAGACCCCTGAAGAGGGAAAAGCCAAAAGAAGAAGAAGAAGAAAGAAGGCAGGTCAGAACACCTGAGATAGGTTAGGACGCACGAGACAGGTGAGATGACAATAGACAGTCAGAACCTCAGACAGGTGAAAGGACCTACATGTAACTTGTTTTTTGTTCTGCAGATGTTTGACTGCAGGTTCCTGTCAGACGAGGTCCAATATGTTCACAATGGCAGTCCTCTGCTAGACCAGGACTTGGTTAAGCTGAGAGTCTACAGGTGAGAGTTCTGCTGAGGTTCCTGACTGGTTCCACCTTTTCTACACACACACACACACCTGATGACTGTTGTTCGTTTGGTTCTCTGTTGTTCATGTAGTGCCTACTGTGTCTTTTTTCCCATGGTTATATATTTTTCCTGTGGTTCTCAATTGTTTATGTGGTTCTCTGATGTTCTCGTAGTTCTCTGAGGGGGAATCTTAAGGACACACTTTGCTCCACAGCATCATATCCTCTTTTGATGTTCTCAGGTTCACATCCTCAGACACCCTGGTGGAGACGATGAGCATCAAGGTCCAGGTGCTGAACTTAGGGTCCGGTATGGTGGAACTGGGCAGTACGCCGCTGGTGGTTCCTCAGTTCTTTGGTTTGTCAAACACCATTAACAGCTCAGTGCTGATCATCAGGAATCAGGGAGACCTGGTCTGCACTGTCAGGCTGATGAGCGGAGACACAAACGTCCCAATGGTGGGTCAGCTAGTCCGAGAGGACAACCAGCAGAGGAAGGGTACGTCACACAACAGGTTGACATAGTAACAGTTTCTGGTCCTCCAGACTCTGGACCAAAGACAACCTTTACGTTAACTTAACCAGAACACAGAACCAAATGAGAAACTTAGTCTGCTCTCTTCGGGTCTCTGACAGGACGACAGGCATCGGGGTTCTGTCCCGGGAACAAACCATGTCTCCACGATACCACAGAGGTCCCCTTCTTGAAAACAAGCTGCCAGGACTTCCTGAGCTTGGGTCTGAAATACCAGCACCTCAGTCCTCCATCCCCACAGATGGACTTCATCCCCCTCAGAGTGGAGCTAAGGGAGGAAACCACCAGGACCCTGCTGCAGGTACAGGAGGAAGACCTGGATGTGGGTCTGATTCAGTCTGACCCCCAGCTCAGGGCGTGGACTGAAGGGTGTCCAGCAGTTTGTGTCAGGTCTGGGCTGTTTCTGGAAATGGGATCAAGGTGTTTGTTGACAGTCAGAAGATCCCGTCCCACCTTTATGGAGCCCGAGGTTCTGATGGATTTCAAAGATCCATAGATCTGCCAGCTCTGGTCCACGCGTATGTCTTCATTTTATCAGCAGACGTGTTGATTGAGATTCATGCTGCTTTCTGTCTCCCAGTCAGAGGCAGTATGGCTGCCAGTTCTGATCCACGGTGCCATGCAGAACCAGCCTCCCCGGGCCAGCTTCATGGCCTCTTCCATCCTAGAGGTGGACCAGTTCATCCTGACCCCCCTGAGCACTGCTACCCTGGACGCCGTGGACCAAGAGACGCCACAGGACCGGCTGGTGTTCAATGTGACCTCCCCACCTGCAGATGGATTCATCACCCACATGGATGACCACACAAAGCCTGTCCAGTCCTTCACCTGGCTGGACCTGAACCACATGAAGGTGGCCTACCAGCCCCCAAACAGCAGCCACAGCCACCGCAGGAACTACCAGGTACTGTAAAGACCAGTCTGCTCAATTCAGACCATAAAGGCTCTGGCTCTGGGATCAGGATCACAGCTAACAGTGCTCACAATGTTTTTGTTGTCAGAAGTTCTGTTTCCATGGTAACCGTGGTTTGTTTTGTTTACGTCCCATCAGGTGGAGTTCCAGGTGATAGACGAATCCTTTCTGAGCAGCTCGCCCATCATGGTCCACCTCTCCATCCGGTCGTCAGATACTAATGCACCTAGAGTCTCCTGGAACATGGGTATGTCTGGGTATTCAATCTCGAAGCAACCTGAAAGCACGCTACTGTGATTTCTGACGACACTCGAACGCCTCGTGTGTTTCAGGTCTGGACCTGCTGGAGGGTCAGTCTCGACCACTCACATGGCAGCAGCTGCAGATTGTTGACAAGGACAACATTGATGCTGTTTACTTGGTGGCTGTGGACGGACCTCTGCAGGGATGGCTCAGTGTCAGAGGTGAGGGGCCAAAGGTCATCTGCAATCAGTTCCTGAATGAAACTCTGCTGCAGAAACAGAGTTCATCAGGGATATGCAAAATTCACTTTTTTGTCAGAAAATTACATCCGAACACTGCGTTTTATGACACTTCCTGCCACTTCACAACACATGCTGCAGTGCTGCGTTCAATGCCTACTGGGAAATCTGAACTCTTCTTCGAGCTGGGAGTATGCCAAGGAAACCAGGAAAGACTCGACGTTTACCTTCATTTATTTAATGTCAGCAAAACATTTTTGTACATGAGTGTACTCAAAACACAAGATTATTTTTAACTTTCCATTTCTTTCAGTAAAGATATAAATTGGTAATAATTACATATACCTTTTTATTTTAATATACTTTAAAGTAATAATCAAACTTCAAAGTGATTATGCCATCCATCCATCTATCCATTATCTTTAACCACTTCTTCCTTTTCGGGTCGCGAGGGTCACTGGTGCCCATATCCACCCATCACTGTGAGCAAGGAAGGGGTCGCACTGGACAGGTCTCAGTCCATCACAGGGACAACTAGGGACA